AATGATCAACATGTTCTTTATTGAAGGTTATCTCCGACTTGCTAATCAAAAAGTAGGTTGAGTACTAATGCTACAATTTTCTCCGTAAAGAATTGAAAGATCGATCCAACTCAATAAGTTGATTGTTGATCAACTCATTTTATTCTTAAGTTTGTTATTATTATTATTTTTTTAATGCAAGTACATTGTAGAGGTGGCAAAATTCTCCCCGCGCCCCCAGGTTCTTTTTTCCATTTTCTCCATGGGATTTGGGTAGAATCGGAGAATGTGGTCTAGGGCTGCACAAAAAAATTGCGAAATCGCAAATCGAATCGAAATTGTTGAGTTGAAACCGTTGGTTTGGTCCCCACATGGGCTTGTGGTTTTTTCCCTCAAATCGAACCAAACCGTTTTTGGAAGCCCTAACATAAATTAACATTTGACGCTTGTCCGCCACTACTAAACGAATCACTGGTCGCCTTTGCATGTTAATCTTCTAATTTCTACCTGAATCACCTATTTTTCTCTTTTCTTTCAGTAAGTTTCAAATTATTATTGAAACTATTTTTCTGTTGTTCTTTCTTTTATTTGTTGTTTTTGAATTTAATATACACTTGTAAGTTGTGATTTGAATAGAAAAATGACTGTTAGTATGCCTAGATGATTAATAAACTTGTTTGTAGTTTGAAAAGAACAAAAGACGAAGCGTATTGATTGTGTGAAAATGTTAAAATTTCATAACTAATCCTATTACCTTTTACTTTCATAAAGTAGTTAGAGAATGAAAATTTTCAATTCCCAATAAATCGAAACTCTATCAATATTCGTACATTTAAACATATTCCGTTCAATTCTTATTTAATATCTCAGTTGCAAGACGAAAGGGATTTTAACCAAACTATAATAGTAGAATGTGACTCTATCTTTACCAATCGTTATATGACAATATGAATATCAAACAAGAAAATGTAAATAAAAATGAAGAAAAATGTATTTGTTCTATTAATATCTTTTAGCAACCAACTTTGAAAATAATTTTTTCATGGGTTTCATTATAAATATAAATGTAATTTAATATTTAACATTATTAGTTTTCATTTAAATTTATGTCAACTTATGTTAAATATATTACTATAATGTCGATAGGTAAATCGCGGATTGAAACCGAATCAAGCTGCAAATTATGGTTTGGTTTGAAAAAATTTCAAATCGCATAAAATAGTTTAAGTTGAAAACATAGCACAAACTATTCAAATCGAATCGTGTTCACTCGAACATGGTCCTTGAATCTTTATATTTTATTTTATTTTAATTTATACTTTCAAATTTAAATTATATTCATTGAAAATAAAAAATAATTAAATGAGACAAAAAAAAATGAGAATATTCTATTAATTCTCGCCCCCGCCTACACAAGAAAAAAAGTCTTTATTTTTTTTTTTTCAAAGTTGTAAGTGAGGATGAATTGCACCTGGTCCATAGACAAGATATTTTGAGGGTTTCATGTTTGCAGAGTATCTATAAATGATTTGAATTATAGGTAAATAAAATGAGTGGTGAACAAGTGAATAATACTTGGGGAATCCTCGAAATATATACATAAAAAGCTGTTTGAGTGTTTATAAATAGGAAGCCACCATAGGCTACATGTGAAAATTAAGACTAAAATGCAATGGGAATCAAAATTAATAGATGTCACACTCGATATAGCCTAATTTAAAATAAATCCCTTTATTTTTGTCAATATTTTCTATTTGTTTGTCTCCTAATACATTCTCTTTTTACTTAAGTTTTAACGCTTCAGTAGAGTGGAAACTGTTAACAAATAGCAAGATGACATGGTGGAGGCCAAATGAGCTTAGGCAATCTCAACTCTATTTTAAAAGTTGATCGATTTCTGCACATCTGATTTTCCATGTTAAACGAGTGATTTATAGCTCCACTTTTTGAGATGTTGATAACAGATAACAAACAACCAATACCAGAAATCCAATAGAGATGTGTGTAATATTGTAGAAGCCAGTCAAATTTCCAAATATAGCTAAGAAACAAGAGAAGCATAGATCAAATGATTATGTCCAAATCCATATATAATCAAAAGAATGGAGAGAAAAAAGTAGAGGGCCGTGTGCTTGACTCTTTTGACTGGCGTGCTTGCCATCCTTCGAGGAAGAATGGGAATCTCTCTCTCTCTCTCACACACACACACACATCACATACATATATAGATACATATATATATGAAGTGAAAAGGACAAAAACAAATACAAAGGCCTATGGCTAAGGGTGAGCAGCTTATACCAGCGAAGAAAGTAGTGAAAATCGAGTGTAAAAATGGTTTCTTTCCATATTTAGCAATCAAAGAATAGTCCCATCAACAAAAAGACATAAAACCCAAAAAATCACTCAGATTGACACATGATTTTAGCATCTGTCAATTTCAACTTTCTCTCTTCAATATTTGCACCCACTATTTTGTTTTGAACAACATTGATGAAGTTAGTAGTCTAGTTACTTGGTTTTCTTCAAAATAGAACAGAAACCTAGAGATGGAATGTGTTCATGTGCATACTTGATTTCAATTCAAAATATAGTTGAGATTTTTAGAAGAATCAAAGTTAGTTTTAGAAGGTATATTATTGTCGTCTTATTGTGTTTCTAAGTTCAATTGAAATATTATCAATATTTTACCCTTGATTGAAGCTACAAAACAATAGCTAAAGTTCCAAGGATTTGAGCTCGCCATCTTTTATATATATATGCATAATCTCCAAGTATATGTTCAAGGTAGGTTTTCACCAAAAAAAGTATTTCCAGTTCACATCTTATTGTGAGTACCTTGTAGATAAGAGTCTATTTAAAATTAAGAATGATGTAAGGTACAATTGAATTCAATTTCTAAGAAAAAGAACTTACACAAGGGATAAGTTCGACTTCTTGCCCTTATTATCTTAAAAATTAAGGAATAAATACAAATTCACTGTAATCTAAGTTCATCAAGAGAGTCAATGCCACAAGAAGTAATAACAGTTTGACATCAAATAAAAAGGAACAGAAATGTTTTCAAAGTTCATTTCAAGTTGTTTATAATACAGATGTGAACTAGCTAATTTTCTAATTATTCTTATAGACATTTCAAGCTGTCTATTTGCACGATCTTTCGCTCGAAAAAAGGAGACAACAACGGGGCAAATCATGGCAAGGTCAGTAGTATAATTAATCAGTCTTGTTAAGGATTCAAGAACTTGTTTATAAGTGGTCAAATTCTATTAGGGAAATAGATTAACTCTTATTTTTCTCGATTAACTCTTATTTGTCTCCTCTCCTCTCTATATCATTGACTTTCCTGTCCATTTCAAATTTACAAGTACAGTAGATAATGCAATCAGATTTTCAGACCAGTCCTCATAATTTTCTCAAGGTCTGCTGCATGATTTTCAGAAAATATACAAGATTTTACAAAAATATGTTCTATAAATTGCAGTGTGATTTTAAACGAAAACTGCAAAAGGACGTATAACACTCTACCTGTACCACACTGAAACTCAGTTATGTGAAGTGAAAGAAACTTAAATTACTTGAATGATTTCATAGCCTGGTTATTATCCTCTTGTGTGCTTCATATATTTCAAAATTACTTTTTAGTTTCTTTTCTAAAAATTTAATATATGAGGGGTTGGTCATTCAAGCTTTTTTTTTTTCCTCAATATATGGGAATTTTCTTGATCATTAGAAATTAATAAATTTTATATATACCACTTGGTGGTTAAACAAACACAAGGAATAAACCTCAGTCTAGGAAGACATAGTTTTTATTTTAATGCTAAATAAGAATGAAAATAGTTACTTATTTATTAATTTTTATTTCTATCAAATGTCTGTTATGTGCACCATTTTCACTAGCAGATAAGGATGAGACTTGAAATCAAATCTTTAGCATACTCTACTTTGGTATCAAACTAAGCAACTTCATCTAAAGTTTTAAAACTTTAGATAGTAATTATAATTATCTATTTAAATTTAATCTTTACCATAATGCAATGTTAATCTGTTCATCTAATATTATTTTCGACATCAATGTTGTTAGTGAATGCAATCCCTCACTCACCCACCAATCAATAAGAAAATGGAACAAAAAGAAAGAATATTGTACCTAGCTAGCGAGGTGTTACTTTGTGCACCTATTATTTCTTACTTTTTGGGACAATAGTCAAATATATGGAACATGTGAAATCCTCAAACATAACTACATATTCTAGTATTGCCATCAGATTACCACCATGTTCTTCACTTCAAGGTTCCCAACTTTACTAGATAACTGGATTGAAATGGAGTCAACTCCATGGAACAACCTTAGTAAAGAGACCTACTACTTCAATGGTCTCAAATTATCCTATTTAAATGGTAACTAAATATGAATACTAATTTTAGATTAAGTCCATGTTTGTTTAATACAAGTGGTGAGTCCAGATGAATATATACTTAAAAAGTAAGTAAAAGTTGTGAATTCATAAAATGTGAATAAAAATAGTGTATGACCAAATGATAATTAATTATAAGCATTGACAAACATGGGCAAATAAACTCGTCTTGTCGCTAATAATTGAATAATTTTTAAAATGACGATTCGATTTTTTTTTCAAAAATAAAAAATAAAAAGGATACAAAAACCTAGTGTCGTCTCTCATCGCTTCGATTTTATGAAAGTTGTAAGTGACCAGGCATGTTATATCAAAATTAAATAAATAAATATTTTATCTCTGGCACTAATCTACTCACAATGAAGTGAAAACTTATTATCTCCATAGACGGTCAAGAGTACACCGAATAGCTAAATAACTATACTTCCTTTATTCTAATCATATTCCTCGTTAATGTCTCTTCGACTTTCATATTCCCAGCTTGAAGTAGAATCTTTAAACTAGAAATTTTCAAGCTACCCATCTGAAAAACTTTCCTATGCACGGGCATGCAACTCATTTGTTTTGTAGTGAGAGGTAAGTTGTACTATATAGTAACCCTAGATTTGCCTTTTTATGCTATCTCAACGCTATCCAGCTGTTAAGCCTCAAACCCTAAATTTCGCATCTACTCTTCCTATCTTATATATGTCTTCCTATTTTTCATCTTCTTCCTCTTCATCAATGAACTTTGGAGATAGATCAATCACCATGGATTTGGTTCAATCATCTGATCATCTTTGCTATGTCCGGTGCAACTTCTGCAACACTGTTCTTGCGGTATTTATATACATTATTCCATGCAAAACCATTTAGTTTCTTGTGAGAAAACAGCAAGCTATATCTTCTCATTTCTCTCATCTCTCTATATATATTCATGGATCTATCTATATGTTACAGATCTCTTCTTTTGCATGTAAAATATACTTGCAGTGTACGCATGTTTCTGTCTCTATCAATCATTTCCCAACCAAAATGTTTAATTTTTGCATAATCTTAGTATAGCCATATATAACATTTGTATATGACACGAGTTGATGTTTTGCGGATCTCCACTTTCATCATTTTGTGATGTTTTCTCTTAATTTTTGGAATATAAATACAAGGAAATTAGTTAGTATTGATATTCAGCTATTTCCTCTGGGTCTATTATAGACACGAACATAAACTACCTGTTTGATAATGTGAATTAGACGGCATTAAGAAATAAAAGTATTGTATATATTCAATATAGGAAATTTGATATATATTTTTTTCTCTACAAAGGTTGGGATTCCATTCAAGAGATTGTTAGACACTGTCACAGTGAAATGTGGACATTGCAGCAACCTCTCCTTTCTTAGCACCAGACCTCCACTTCAAGGACAATGTTTTGATCATCAAACAAGTCATGTCCAGGTACCATGTTCATATCATTTCCATTTCAGGATTTCTATTGTTTTCGACTTTAATGGAGAACGAAAAGAAGAATCCTGATTTCTGCCATAGGTTTTCTGCAGTGAAGCTAAGAAGGCACAATCTTCATCATCTTCCTCGTCCACATCCAGTGAACCCTTGTCCCCGAAAGTCCCATTTGTTGTGAAACGTAATGGGATTTCTCCAATTCCTTTTTCTTTCATCTTCTAAAAAATTTATGTTAAATTAATTTCTTCAGAATCTTCACTTATTATTCTACTTGTTTAATTTGTTTAAATTGCAGCACCTGAGAAGAAGCATAGGCTTCCATCAGCCTACAATAGGTTTATGAAGTGAGATTCTTACAAACAATTTTTAATCTCGTAGTTTTAGTATCTATTTTAGAAACCTATATGCTTTTATGTTTGTTTGGTAAGAATCATAAGATAGATTATACAAAGAAGAAAACTATTTTTGTTTCTTTATATTATCCACTCAAGTCGAATACTACCTGCAAAATATGCAGTAAGGATTATACTTTTTTCTTTGCCAGGGAAGAGATACAGCGCATCAAAGCAGCCAATCCAGAGATACCTCATCGAGAGGCTTTCAGTGCAGCCGCAAAAAATGTGAGTTTTCCATTTTCTAATTAATTATTCATGAACCCTAAATAAAAAATCTTCTGTACTTTTCATATTTCATATGAACCTAATTAATTCGCTCAAACAGTGGGCTAGGTACATTCCAAACACACCAGGGTCCGTTTCCAGCAGCAGCAACAACAACGTAAGAAATAATTTTATGATTTTTCTCCATAATGGTTGAAAATATAAATATTTTTAAATAAGCTGGTTCCATCCTCATATGCATAATAACATGTGAAAATGGGCAAAAAAAAGTTTGATTGACACTTAGTTTCGTCCATGGTGCATTGGATTAATTCAAGACCTAAGGCAAAATTCAATCGACCTATAAGGGGTGAATAAAATATATAAATATAAACTATACTTTTACTAAAATTTTAAACTTTTTGATGAAATGACTAATCCTGATATGGCTCATATTCTTTGTCATGTGTAGGTTTAATGATGTGGAAATAATGCAAAAACCATCATATCGACCCCGAAGATTAGAAGTGATTTGAGGAGGCAATTAGATCACTGAATTAGTTTACTTTCTGTTCTCAAACTTTTATCATGTAACTTTATGTTATGCGGAAGATAATGGAGATGGGACTCATATGTAATATTATTATCTAGTATTTGACGTGAGCTACTTATAATTATGAATATTATGTTGCATTTGGGATGTGATTCCCCTATCTTGCATTGATTGATTTATTTTAATGGATTTTGAAATCATTATCTTTTTCTGCTGATGCCATTTTTATTAATTCTATTCTTTACTTTTAAGCTACACCTCTCGTGCACCGGACCCGAAATTTTCGAGTATTTAGTAGGAAACACCACACAAATCCTACATTGAAAAATCATATTTCACAACTAACAAACGTCTAAAAATCTTTCAAAAATAAGGTGATAATTAAATTTATTAAATATTTAATTATAATATAATTAATCTACTCTCTCTCCCACCCCACCCCAGATAATCTATCACACTAAATTTTAAATTCAAACAATTCTCTCTCTCTCTCTCTCTCTCTCTCAACCCAACCTCAATTCCGACGACCCAACCTACCTCCGGCGAGAATTTCGGCGACCACTCCAGCCCGAATTCCGGCGACCCGCCTCACCTCGAGCAAGAATTCCGGCGACAAATTTTTCGCCGGAAGATATTCCGACAATGACTTAGGCGATCGTTCCAACAAATGAGGCTGCACATTTTTTCAATTTTTTTGATAAATGACTTTTGACCAATTTCATTGGATTTGTTACATGTACATATTGTGACCCGTGACCAATTCTATCAAATCTGTGACCTAATCATGCGTGACGAATATTAAATATGATCAATTTCAAAATTAAGAAAATAAAGTTTGAAATTTCAAAAATCATACTATTAAAATTTTCAGCCAATTATTCCAGCGGCCTTCGGCAACTACCATTTTCCCTTTCTTTTTTTTTGGAAATTACCTGTGACCAGCTTTATTGACTTTGTGACCTAATCAAGTGGGATGAAGATGCATATAACAAAACCTGGGTTGCATGTGATCAAATTTTTTTACGGCAAGATCTATGTTATATGTAACTGATTGTGACCAAATTTATCTTTGGTGTGATTGTTTGTGACCGTTTAATTTATAACTGTATATAACCAAGTCACTATTTGTGTAATTTGTGACTAACTGTGACCAACTTTGTTTTCAGTGTGACTATCTATGACCGTCTAATTTATGGTTGTCTATAACCAAGTCACAAACATGTATTATCTGTGACTAATTGTGACCAAATATATCCTCATTGTGACTAAATGTGATCAGATTTTTATTCAATGTGTCTATCTGTGAACAAGTCAACCTTTTAACTGTGACGAAATGTGATCAAGTCACAATCAGTTACAATCAATATAAAATTGGTCACAATCAGTCACAAATCACAAATTTTTTAGGTTGAAACTTTTTTATCGATCAAAATTATTAAATTAATTGATTACCACTTTTTTGGTCAGAAATCACACATTTTATAGGCCAAAACTTATATAACCTATAATTTTGTTACTCGTGACTCGTAATATAAAATGTAACCTATAAATTTGATCTATAAGTTCTACAAAATGACATGTGACCTGTTAGTATTGATTTGTGACCTGTTTATACTCATCTGTGACTTATATGTAACGTGTGAATTGTGACGTGTGACTAGTAACATATGTGACCTTATGGCTTATGTGATCGGGGGCAAATGACCATGTGACCAACTTCACCATCACCACTCCATCCCACATGCACAATCACCACCTTTTCACCCTATGCTCATCACTACTACTTCACCATCAATGCCCATTTGAATCTCACACAACTGCGACCACAACCAAACACCCAATAATTAACAACCACCACCAACATCATAAACACAATCACCTATGACCAGATAAAAATGGAGGAAAGGACCACCATCACCACCTTCACCTAACCATCACCGCCAGCATTACCAACTTACAGCCCAACCACATATCCAAAATCAAAAGTAAAATCAAAACCATAGCATACCAATCATAAATCCAACAATCTGAACTCCATCTCCAACTATCACATCATTATCTTCTACAATAATTTTAAGAACATCTTTTGTAAGCTTTCAAGCATCGTATATAAAAAATCTCGACATATTTAATTCCTCACAGCAGCATCTACTGATAAATAATTATTCTAGAATCAATAATACCATATGAGATCTGAATTTCCTCTTGAAAACTATTGTTGACGATTTGTCTTGACCTCAGGAAAATGTAGAAGACACTATATTAGCAATTATTCTGATCTTGCAAAAGAAGAAGTTAACTTGAAAATTGTAAAATTGTGGGGAACGGGATGGGTTGGTTTTTAAATTAATAAAATGTATATACAATTCTCTTATCATCACAAAGTACGACGTAGAACCAGAGGGATTTTCATCTGAAAATCGCAAATATAAGCAAAAGTCTAACAGAGTAATCGATGATTTTGTAGAATTTCAAATGAGATTAAAAGGGAGAGTCCAAGGAGTGGACCTGGGGACCTCAATTTTATCCTTGATGTGGTCGATTTTCTTTTCCTTCTTAGACCTTCCATTTTTCGTATGACCGCTTGAATTTCTTTACCCTTCTCGTCTTCTTATCGCCTCGTCAACACAGGATCGAAGCACCCGGAGATGAGGATGAGGAGAGGGAGGAAAATGCAAACCGCTGCTCGACAGCCGCCATAACCCGCTGCCCTGCCACACCATACCATCGTCGAGACACTCTTACGTCGTGGTGGTGGTAGCGATGACTTGGTTTGACGGTAGGCGGGTGGTGGTGGGTACGATGTGGTGGCACAGAGAGGAGGGAGAAAACGGGTTGGGGATCAAATGGGCGTGGGTTGAGGGTTAGGTGAATATGTGGATTGAGTTTAATTAAATTTTTATTAATTATAATGATTAAGGCTTAATTACCACCTGATTTGTGAAATGAGAATTTATTTCCTTGTTTTTTGAAAATTAATCTATAGAGGTAGGTTTCTAGGTAATTTTCTCTATTTAGTAAGTGGAACAATTGGGTCCAAATTTAATCATAGAACCGTTCGTGTTCGATCTCATTCAGTTCACGGGTTTCGTACTATAATTAAATTTTTAATATGATAAAGCTACATTAATTCAACTAATGACGTATTCAATCTTAAACTTTACAAAATAACGTAGTCTAATCATATGTATCTTTTACATATCTCTTTATTGAGTTTTTCATAGATTTGATTATTAAAATCACAAAAAGAGGAAGGTAGCGAGCTCACAATAATTAAGAGAGGCACAGTCGAGCTTCAATTTGATTTCTCTAGAACGGTAGAAACGACACTACGATAAAATAACATATTTGGGTAAAATATAAGTCAATTTGATTAAGTTGGGCTTGGATTGAAGATTAGAAATAGAAAAATCATAATTTTGGATTTGAGTTAAATTAATTAGTTAGCAAAATTATTAGGAAAAAATAAAATTATTTGAATTATTTCAAATAAATAAATTAAAAAATTGGAGAGATTCGGTTCTTTTTCAATTTTTTGGTTCTTGATTTAGAACTGAGAACTGAATTGAACCTGTATGTTCTCGATTCAGATACCTCATTCACATATTTAATTTAAGAAGAACTGCTCGATTTGGTTCAATTCGGGTTGAGTCAGGTTGGTTCCGGTTTGAGAGTTTTGTCCCACCTTACTCCATATAGCTTGGAGTACAAAAAATGTACAAACTCTACATGATTAAACCAACACAAAATGTTGGAAAGAAATGGAAGCAGAAATTTTATCCATGAATATATACCATCTAAATTATTGTCTTCCAAGATTTTATATTCTAGGTTTGGGACTACTCATTTTTGTTATTATGTAGCGAAAATAAGAATTTTCGTTTGTTACTATATTCTGGTTTATGAATTAATCTTTGAACTTTTTAAAGAACTGATCTTTTGGGATAGGCTTTATGGACAAGGGTCGAGGCGACGATGTCTTAGAAATTCTTCTTGCTTCCCATGATAAGTAATTGTTAATCAATCTGAAAAGCAAAAAATTACTTAATGTAATCATGCTCTACAATCTGATGTCTTCTCTTTTTTCATTTTTTTTCTCTCTAGTTTATTATGTCTCCATTTGGAAATTTCTTAAAATTGTTTATAAAGAGGAAGATAATGAGTCCTACATGTAAATAATAATGAGCAATAATCATATAAATTAATATTTGACTTTGACCATTTATTAAACACTTATAAATTAGTTACCTAATGGAGGCAAAATATATAAAGATTTTCTGAAGTGTCTGGTGAAACCATTCAATTGTCAGATCATACTTTAGGAACCCTCAGTTTTCTACAAAGGGTCTTTCTAGATTCTTTATGAATTAATTCCTTAATTTGTCTCTAAACTTCATGCTTGTTTCTGTCAATATTTCTGACCAAAGGGTTTGCTAGATTCTTTATAAATTCTCTGTTTAGCTTCTTGCATTAGGAGATTTACAGTCTTTTTTCTAACAATGGGGAATCATATTGAAAGGAAAAATATATTTATAGTTACTCCATATGTTGTAGGATGAGAGTTTGATTAATAACCAGAACGGACGTCGCAGCCATAGTTTGAGGAGTTCGAAGGGAAGTAAGAGAAGATTTTAACTTTGAGATGTAGCTTCATTTTTGTCATTAAATTGCTAAAATAATCCCGTTAATCATGAATATGAACTTCAAATTTTTATTTTAATTACTACATGAAATTAGAGAATTTAAGTATCTGAACCAGATTAATTATCCTCAGACCATCCATAGGGTGAGTAGGAGAGTAATAATCAAACAAACGTATGTCATATATAAAATAAAACAATTACTAAAATATAGAGTACAAGCAGGAGTGTACCCAAGAGAATTTTGCCTCATGTACAGTACAGGCTTGTGTTCACAAGGCCGGTATAGGGCACTCGCATGCCCTTGCATTGGGTTGGGGGTGGGTGATTATTTATTAAAAAAAAAAAAAAAAATTCTCCTACCACCTATGGATTGTGAGTATTTTGTACAGGGCCTGTACAACAAGCAGAACTCGTACCCAAGAACATAGGCAAGACAAAATTATATAAAAGTTATGAG